CTAGCCTACTATAAAGATGTGAAGACTGAGTTCCAAAGCTGTAACAAGGGCAAGAACACAGTCCAGCTTTTATGACTTGGCCACCAGAATGTTTACTTTCCAGGCTGGCAGGACCAAGAGTCTGCTTAGGCAAGCAGAAGGACAAGGGTTTGATCCCTAGCACCACCTGCTGTGCTGGCCCCAACCCCAGGTGAGTTGAGCCTGGCCCAGAGATCCGGCCTGGTGGCACAAGCCTGTAATCCTAGCACTGGGGAGGCCAAAAACAGGAAGAGCACTATGAGTCTGAGCTGTGTAGTGAGACCCTGTAGTAAATACATGAAAACAACAACAATAATAATAATCATAACAATAAGAAGAATAATGTTTGCTTTCCTTGAGGACCCAGGAAGATGCAATGATTAATACAAAAATATTCTCCAAACAGAAATTTTACTACATGGCACTGCCCATTTTTTCAAGAAAGGAAGAATTTGAGAGTTCAAGGTACTTCATATTTGAGAACCAAAGCAGAGACAGCCTAAGTTCTTCATTACTTTGGAAGCTTTCCAGAAAACAGATCAGGACCAGCTAGAGGGCCAAGGTGTCTTTTACGGGACCTTCTGTGTTCCCATGTGAGCAAAGCCCCAAAAGTCCACCCCCTGCTCACTCCACTGCCTCCTTTTCTTATAATTCCTTCTTCATCTAGGTAAGAAACAAGTGAAAATAGTCCGAAATGAATCACTTTCCTAGTTCAGACTACTACCTTTTCTTCTATGCTGAATATTCTAAATATAGTTCACATTCCTGCTGTTTCTCATTGTGCTGTCTTTGCAGAACATAAGTTCCAAAGGCGTGTTTCTGTTGTTTTATTATGTGGTGGGACAATGGAAGCAGTAACTCTTTTGACTACTTCCATGATTAAAATGAGATCCAGACTTGATAATACAGTCAAACGTTCTGTAAAGTGCCCCTTCAGAGTAGAATGAGAAAGCATCTCTAATTACAATTTAAGGATAAAGTTTCTAGGGAAGGACAGCCTGCATTAGGGATTTAACTAATCTATTCTTATGATACACCCAGAAGGGTAAAACAGTAGCAACTAACATATAGCAAATCCTGAATTTGTATTAATTTGTGTTTTTGAACAAGTCTTGCTATGCAGTTGTGGCTGGTCTTGAATTCACTATGTAGCCCAGGCTGGCCCTGAACTCATGGAGATCCTCCTGAGTGTGG